TACCCATAGGGAGGATTTAATTTATTTTGACACTAGACTGCAAACATCTTTTCCCCAGAACAAGGGACAACAAACCACCAATATTCTGACGCTTAAATTTGTAAGTGAGAGATCAAGAGCCCAAACTTGAAAAACTAGTTTTAGTCACCAGAGAGTCTGTTATAAAGTGGGCCGAATGCAGCGCTCACCTTAAAGAGCCCGAGAGTTTCTTTCCAGTACAGAAAAAGAGCCCTAGGCGCAGGACATGAATTCTTGACGAACTCTGTGATATTCAAGTGCTTGTTTTGTTGTGGGGAAGGGACTTGAAACCCTCCTGTCCTAATAGTGAGAAAGGGAGTAGGCAGTAGGGAATAGGGAGAGCCCCCCACACACCATACTGATTTGAAAGCCAAAGGAGAATAAATCAATGAACCCCCCAAAAAGGAACGCACTGACTGCAACCATAGACCTAGAATAAAATTACCTTGAGCTATTACTGACAACAGAGGCAGGCTGAAGTACAGCGCGGTGACAACTGTGCACTGTACCCGAGCGCCCACAGAACTGAAACTTGGGAGCACAAATCAGGGTTTCTCTCCCTATTGGCATCACCCCCAAGGAAATACAGGAAGAAAAAACAGAAAGAAAAAAAAAATAATAACAACAAAGCACAAAAGGATACAGACAAAAGCAAACAGTCCACTACCTGGGAGGAGACATACAGACAAAGGAAGTAAGGAACCTTTCTTGCTGTGGAAATACATGTAGTTGAAAAGCTTTCCTACATTTCAAGGAAGCTAATTAAGAATACTGTTTTGATGCATTTATTGCTTGAATCTTGAAACCCAATTGTTAAAGTGTCCCTGAATATTCAGTGCAACAGAAGTATGAACAGCATATCCACCATGGGGTGTGCCAAAAGCGGTTAAAATAATTCTCTGGGGAACAATGCAAAGCGCAAGAAAGCTGAGAGTTGTCTTTGCAAGAAAGTGGTGGGAGAAGGGGAGGGGGCAAAACAACCAGACTCTCTCATCTGGGAAGCATGTGTTTTTGGACTTGTGAGAGTTGAATTAAAAAAAAAAAAGCAAAAACCTGATTCTTCACCTTCAACATTCATGTAATTCAACAAAAGATGGAATTTCAAATTGCGAGCGAGTGGGTACAGACAACAGCAAAACTGAAGTCATTATGTACCCCCCCCCCCCCTTTTTTTTTTTTTTTTTTTTTTTGTG